AAATTACCTGTTATACTTTAGGAAGCAATAAAAATAGGATTCTCTTATGATCAATACATTTCCCACCAAAGTTTAAACGGTAATTTTTTTATATTTTAATTCAGTTAGAAGTATTTTAATAGGGGGTACAATATTAGCTACTGCTTTCTAAAAAAAATAAAATAACTAAAAATTAATTAATTAATTTATTCATTGTTTTGAATCAATAAAAACATTACCTTTCATGAACATTTTTTAAATAACTTAAAATAATTAAATCCAAAGCTATATGAAAATTAATAAAATTGTATTTATTTAAAAAATGTGGTTTTAAAAATATGTGATTTTAATATTAAATATCTTATTTGGGCAATTTCGTTTCGAGTGACGCAAGTCAAAAAATAATGTATGTATAAAACAATAGTATTAATTTCAATATAATGATTCCAGATAGCGTTTGAATACTTTAAGTAAAAATTTTAATGTATTTTGTTTTGTTACGATAATGAAATACAAATAAAATTTTAGCTCAAAGTGATCATACGTAATCTGGAAACAGGACCTAAACGCGCAAATAGTTTAAAAAAGATTGAAAGTTAAGATTTAACTAAAATAAATCTAAATAGGTTAAAAATACAATGTTCATCAAATGAAAGCCGAAACGTATAACTTCAAAAAGTCTTTAAATGCTTATAACTCCTAAACCAAATAAGAGACGAAATTTAATATAAAAACATTTTTAATTAAACATATTAGACTTCGTTTAAAAATAATGGAAAGGGAAGCCGTTTAGAGTTGTTAACTTATTCCTAAAATAGTATTTTAATGTAAAATATGACAACTTTTTAATTTTATTTATATAATCCTTGAAGATAATTACTTTTTGGTATATATTTAATAAACTTCACCAATTAACAAAACCTTCTTAAATGTTTATTAACAGTTGACTTTTAACACAACACTGTCATATTGTTTTTCATTACTCAAGATTCACTATTACACTATTTTTCAATGAACATTAAATTCAATAACTCATTTAAGTTTCACAATGAATAATTAAAACTGAACATGACTGGACAAAACACAAAACATTACTGAACTTAGCAAAATTTATTTTTATTTTTATTTATTTTTATTTTTTTTTGCGTTCACGATAAAAAATGGAGTATTTATATATTTTGTTTTTGTACTCTTCTTACTATCATCCGGAAGTAACCTAAAAGTATACTTCCAGGAGGGAAAAACTAGAAATCAATGTATTTTGTTTTTGTAAAATGTGTGCTTTCGTCTGACAATCGTCCAGAAGTGACTACAATTCACACTTCCAGATGAATAAAATACAACATTAATGTGAACACTCTTCAAACTGTCTTCCAGAAGTGACATAAACATACAAATCAAGAAGATACAAATAAGGAAACAATGTATTTTGTTATTGTACAATGTGTGTTCTCACCCAACTCTCATACAGAAGTCACTAAAACGTATACTTCCAGATGAAAAAATTCAACAGTCATGGTTTTTTGTTTAAGCAAAATGGATGCACTCTTCTAACTATCATCCGGAAGTAACTTAAAAGTATATTTATAGAAGACGAAAATTCGAAATCAATGTAATTTGTTTTTGTAAAATGTGCGTTCTGTCTGACAATCGTCCAGAAGTGTTTCTGACGTGGCGTCTGGGGTGATGCGCAATAGTTTGGTCTTCTAAATGTTTGAAGGGTGGTTAATAAAATTTTTTATAATATACATACATATGTATGTATATATGTATTTACTTTCTAATAATATATAAAAAAGTAGTATTAATTTGAATATAATGATTCAAGATAGCGTGTGAATACTTTAAGTAAAAATGTAAATGTATTTTGTTTTTGTTACGATAATGAAATACAAATAAAATTTTACCTCTAATTGATAATACGTTATCTAGAAACAGGTCCAAAGTGAGCAAATAGTTTAAAAAAAATATTGAAAGTTAAGATTTCACTCAAATAAATCTAAATGGGTTAAAAATGCAATTTTCATCAAATGAAATCCCATTTTGCCTTCTGTTCGAATTTCTGGTATATGTGTTATGTTTTATGGAAAATTATAGAAAAAATCACTAATTTGTAAATAGAGTCAGAAATAAAATACACCGTAAATGTCTATAACTCCTAAACCAAATAAGAGAGGGACAAAATTTAAAGTAAAAAAATCCTAAAATAGTATTTTAATGTAAAATATGGCAACTTACTTTTTAATTTTATTTATATAATCCTTGAATATAATTACTTTTTGGTATGTTCGAATTTCTGGTCTATGTGTTATGTTTTATGGAAAATCATAGAAAAAATTACAAATTTGTAAATAGAGTCAGAATTAAAATACACCGTAAATGTCTATAACTCCTAAACCAATTAAGAGAGAGACAAAATTTAAAGTCAAAAAAAAAATCCTAAAATAGTATTTTAATGTAAAATATGGCAACTTACTTTTTAATTTTGTTTATATAATCCTTGAAGATAATTACTTTTTGGTATTTATTTAATAAATTTCACCAATTAACAAAACCTTCTTAAATGTTTATTAACAATTGATTTTTTACACAACACTGTCATATTGTTATTTACTACTTAAGATCCACAATATATTAATTACACTATTTTTTTATGAATATTAAATTCAATAACTAATTTAAGTTTTACAATGAATAATTAAAACTGAACATGACAGGACAAAACACAAAACATCACTGAATTTAGCAAAATTTCTGCATTATTTATTTTATTTTTTTATATTTTTTGTTTTGTTATCTTCTAACTATAATCCGGGAGTAACTTAAAAGTATACTTCCAGACGGCGAAAATTCGAAATCAATCTATTTTATTTTTGTAAAATGTATGATATCGTCTGACAATCATCCATAAGTTACTACAATGTATACTTCCAGATGATTAAAATGCAACATTAATGTGTACACTCTTCAAACTATCTTCCAGAAGTGAAATAAACATACAAACCAAGAATATACAAATTCGGAAACAATGTATTTTGTTATTGTAAAATGTGTGTTCTCACCTAACTATCATTCAGGAGTCACTAAAACGTATACTTCCAGATGAAAAAAAATCAACAATCATGTTTTTTTGTTTAAGCAAAATGGATGCACTCTTCTAACTATCATCCGGAAGTAACTTAAAAGTATATTTCTAGAAGACGAAAATTCGAAATTAATGTATTTTGTTTTTGTAAAATGTGCGTTCTCGTCTGACAATCGTCCAGAAGTGTTTCTGACGTGGCGTCTGGGGTGATGCGCATCAGTTTTGTCTGCTAGATGTTTGAAGGGTACATATACTCATATATGTATATGTTTTAACCAACTTTTTCCACTTGTCAATGAATTTTCACATTACTATACAAACAGAATAATTTATGATAACGAATACTTTTTATAGCAACAAAAATTAAAAGAATGTATGTCTTACGTTTATAAATTATTATTTTTTTATTTTTAAAAATATTTTTTTTATTATCTTTCTAATATTTCAATTAATACATATCTGTTTTATTTAATTAAAGTTTTTTATTATGTTTTTATATGTAGTTTTACTTTAAGTCCAGATATTTATTTCTGTAATTCAAGCTTTTTGTCACGTAAATAGGATTTCACATGCATATTCTTTATTAAAATTTGGTTTGAAAACTGTCGCTTACTGTAATGCATTGAACAGAAATCAATAAAAAATGCCACCAAAACGTTGTCAACTACTAAATTTTTTCTAATGCCTCCCCACACCAACCGAAAAAAAATCATACATACAATGTACATACGTATGTAGCTTTGTTAAGTCTCTATTCAGCAATCGTGCTATAAACAAAACTTTTAAACAAGTTTGTAACAAGTGCTTGAAGCTTCCCTAATACTGGAACAGAGTTACAGAATCGTGGAATTTTTGACATAATTATTATTAAATGTATAACACATACATACTTACATATATGTATATTATTGGGGGTCCAATAAGGAGGTCAGCAATTTTAATTTATACATATATATATAAAGTGATGAATTTTTCATAAAAATATAAAACAGGGTTCACTGAACACTAATATAAACTCAGATTTTCAAAAGATGATGAGTCGGTTTCAACCCTTAATAATTTGATATAGCAAAAAACGATATGATTACCATATTTTTGAGGATATGTTTTAATTTACTAGTTATTCCACTTCGTCTGCATCCTCAGAAAAGATTAATTTTTAACATGCGTAATCAATTATGTATGTGCAGCATGAAGCAATATTTACACTGGGACGATGTGGAATGTGTTTAGAATATCGCCTAATCAAGAAGTACATTTAAAAATATACTTAAAGTTTTCTTGAAAATTGTACCAAGAAAAAGTTATGTCTTAATAGGTTTCCAGAGCAATGTTAGCAAATGGAGAATCCACAACTGAAAAATCTTTTATAAATATTTTATATACGTGTGTACAAAACTCATTAGTTGGTAAAGATATGTTTAGTTTGTTATTTTTTTAAATGATCATATGATAATAAAATATGTTATATTTTAAAATTGGAATATTTATAATAAATTAATTTATATTTTGTGTGTTTGTTCAAGTTGTATGTTTTTATATCTACTAAATACATAAAAGTTTGTGATGTGCTGTTTGTATTGTTTTTTTTTTTTGCAAAGAAACCATTTTTAAAACATTTTAAAAATCTGTTTTAATTTTATATTATAGAGAGTCTACACCCATGGCGAATAGAAGCAGGAAGCGAAAAATTGCTGTTGTTTACCCGTTGACGGATGTGGGATTGGAGAAGGACTGTTATTGGAGTTATTGCAGGTGGCTGCCGCCGCAACTGCTGTGTAACCGTTATAACCCATTTGTGAATATGGTGTAGCTGTCGAGGTTGGCACTGTTCCGCTGTGGGTGTTTAGACCGATATTGTTACTTAAATTAGCATGGGGACTGCAAGAGGTCTGACGATCAGATGAACAACTACTTATTCCTTGATGTGTTGGTAATGACGTTGATGGTGGAGGTAATCCTACAGCATGGGAATATGCACCTAAGCTATCGTAACTACTTTGACCTGAGTTAAGAGTTGGCGTACTGTTTGCTGATCCACTGCCGATGCGCTGCAGTTGACCTGTAGTGTTGCAACTACCATTTCCGGAGGGGGCCCCAAAACTTCCATTAGAAATAACGTGATGGTGGTGGTGGTGATGATTCGGTGGTACAGGAGGTCTTAAGGAAACGTGACACTGATACAGTGATGGTGATACTAAATCTCTTTGTTGTGATATCGGAGAACCAGGTATAGATGTTATGGGCGGATGTGAATGTGCAAAACTTGTCATAGGTGCCATAGAACTGAAATATAAAATATATAAAATTTTAATTTTGTTAAGATAGAAGGAAAAAATGGGTTTGAGGCTTTATATAGGGGATAGGGACAAATATGGACCGATCTCCACAACATTTTGTGAATAGATTTATATTTATATAATAGCGTAGAATTTTACATATGTACGTACCAACGAAGTCCAAATACCCTGCACTTTTTTTGATAGTGGTATTAAAAATACCGCAAAAGATATTTAAAGTTATAATATAATTTTTACTGACCTATAGGTATCGCTCATTGATATAGCAGTGTGATGCATAGATGGATATATCGCTGTCATAGTTGTACCGAAACCACCATTTAAATTTATGCGTTGTGGTGAGAGAGTTGGCATGATACTACTTCCTAGGTGAGATTCCGAATGCATGACACTGTGATGAGTCGCCGGAGTATGATGTAGTGAATGTATAAAACCTGTGTTGCTAGTTGATGTTGGGCAGGAAATGTTGTTGTTGTTGTTGCTGCTACTACGACCATTATTGTTGTTACTTTGTACATGACTGTTTTCGCCGTTAGAACTAGTGGTAGCACTTCTATTATTGTGTCCTAGTGTAGCAACTTCTAAATGTTCTGTTGGAGCCGTATCAAGATGACTAGTACTGGGAGCTAGTGAAGGCGCCGGGCCATTGGCAGCTACAACTGAGTTGGTGATGGAAGATGTTGACGTTAAATCCGTCATGGAATCTGTGGAGTGCGTAGTGTAGCCAAAATAGTCAAAAAACATACGAGCTATTTTAATTTATTAGACGTTATTATAGCTTTTTGCTCAATATCTACAGAAAAACCTTGAAACATTTTACAAAAAAATACTTACTGCTAGTTGATACTGGCATAACAGGTGCAACTGTGGAACTACCTCCAATACTGCTGCTATTTGGACTGTCAGTCAGCGAGGCAGCAGGGGTGGTGGACGACGAGACCGGTCCTGTTGAGTTAGGTGTACGGCGTTGATTTCGCAATTTTTCTTCTCTACGCCATTTCGCTCTTCGATTTGAGAACCATACTTGTATACGAGCTTCTGGTAAGCCAATTTTGCCAGCCAAACGTTCCCGTGCAAAAACATCAGGGTAATGAGTGCGTTCAAATTCTGCATGAAAATCAATAAAAAAAATTAACAAAATTTTATTATTTTACAATATCAGTTGTTAATTAGAATTTAAATTATTAAATTTAAAAAAATTGTGACTATTACTTACCCTTTTCTAAATTATCGATTTGTTCATTTGAAAATGATGTACGATTTCTTTGTAATTTGCGTTTTAAAATCAAACGCGCTTGATCATCTTCATTAGCACCTAAATTTGATATGCCACCGTTTGAGTTTTCACCCTCACCTGAAGCAGTTTCATCAGAATTATGACCATCGATTTCTAAAAATAAAAAAATAAAAATTTGTATACAAAATTGTTGATTTGCGAAATTTCATTGAATTCGTTATTCGTTATGATTTTGTAGTTGAATTTTTTTCCTTTTGTTTTTCCTTAATTTTAAACGTTTACATTAATAAATAAATAGATTTGATATGAATTTTCTACTGTTTTTTGTTTGATTTTAAAATCCCTATATTTGTATGTAGTATGTTATGTATGTATGTATGTATGTATGTATGTATGTATGTATGTATGTTATGTATGTTTGTTTGTGATGTATGTATGTATGTATGTATGTATGTATGTAGTATGTATGTATGTTATGTATTGTATGTATGTATTGTCTGTATGTAGTATGTATGTATGTATTATGTATGTATGTATGTTGTTTTAATGTATGTATGATGTATGTATGTATGTATGTATGTATGTATGTATGTATGTATGTATGTATATATGTATAGTATGTATGTATGTATGTATGTATGTATGTATGTATGTATGTATGTATGTATGTATGTATGTATGTATGTATGTATGTATGTATGATGTATGTATGTATGTATGTATGTATGTATGTATGTATGTATGTATGTATGTATGTATGTATGTATGTATGTATGTATGTATGTATGTATGTATGTATGTATGTATGTATGTATGTATGTATGTATGTATGTATGTATGTATGTATGTATGTATGTATGTATGTATGTATGTATGTATGTATGTATGTATGTATGTATGTAGTATGTATGTATGTATGTATGTATGTATGTATGTATGTATGTATGTATGTATGTATGTATGTATGTATGTATGTATGTATGTATGTATGTATGTATGTATGTATGTATGTAGTATGTATGTATGTATGTATGTATGTATGTATGTATGTATGTATGTATGTATGTATGTATGTATGTATGTATGTATGTATGTATGTATGTATGTATGTATGTATGTATGTATGTATGTATGTATGTATGTATGTATGTATGTATGTATGTATGTATGTATGTATGTCTGTATGTATGTATGTATGTATGTATGTATGGATGTATGTATGTATGTATGTATGTAATTGGAAAAACTGAAATGAAGTATGTATTATATGTAGTTTATTATTTAAGATATTGTTTTTTTTTGGTTTCATGAAATAACTCCCCAAAACAAAAATTATATAATTCGATTCTCACTAGAGACACTAATAAATGACCGCACAACAGGTCGGATAGAGGTCTAGGTGTATTTTTCGGATTTGATGTAACACAACCCCCTTTAAACAAACTAACTCTTGGTTCAAATATTTATTGTTTTGAAAAATTTGTGAAGTTTACTCACGTGCAGTACAATAATTTAAAATAAATATTTAGGTATTTAGTATTTCGTACATTTTATTTGCTAAAAACGACAGCAAGTTACAAAACAAACATCACGCGTACGATTGCAAAATAAAAATATTTCATAAAGTAAGGGAGAAATTCAGTAAATTTTATTGTGATATCGTATTATTGCACAATATACAAATCAAATTGTGACAATATCGAAATACTTGAACAAATCGTGCGCACTTAATTTATAATAATATTGAAATTTCAGTTGCTGTTGTTTTTGTGTCTGGCACACAAAGATAGAAGAAAAGGAATAGTGAAAGAATTTCAATTTAACATCCCATAAAATTTTCATTCCATTAAAGAGTGGCTGTGCAAATTCTGATATGAACATTTAAATTTTAACATTAGGACATTTTACTAAAATTAATGTTTAAAGTAACGCTGTAATATACTTATTGGCGAAAAATATGAAATAATATTTTGTATTTATTAATGAAATATAAAGAAAAGTACATTTCCTTTCATTTAAAAATGTTGTTAGAACTAAACACTTCCTTTAAGTAAAAAACTAAAATAAAGGCTAACCAACCCCCTTATTCACAAACAAAATTTTTATTTTATAAACAGTTTATAAATTAGAATTTGTATGGAAATTTTGTTTCATAAACCTTTTATAAAATAAAAATGTTGTTTGTGAATAAGGGGGTTAAAAGTTAAATGAAGAATAGGAAAGAGAAATATTTATTAAGCATTGAATTCCGATCTAAATAGGTTAACATATTTTTAAAAGGGAAAACTCAGTAGCTAGTCACCTGAATATCAATTCTATTATCATATTTGTCTAGCCATTTCTAGCTCCTCTTCGACTACTCACGACACAGAAAAAAATAAATTAACGATTCAGTACAAGAATTCACCAAACAAAATGCAAAATTACTTAAAATCGGACGTATCACGAAAATAGTATATGGGCCACTTTTTTCCACTGAAAAGTCTACTTTTGTCACATCACGTCACGCACCATTAACTGCTTATATCTAGGGAAACAATATACATATTTTTAAGTTGTTTATATTTTTATGTAGAGCTCTAATAGCTCTATACATAGGATAAAGAGGCGACCAATTACAATGAAGTGATGTGACAAAAAATATACTTTTCGGTGGAAATGCTCATAACAAATTTGCACAGAATTAATTGAAAAAATCATTTTTTCTCAATTAAAGAGATATGCTATTAGCTGAAAAATTTATTAAACACTCACTACAATTTCCAAAAAAAAAAAAAATTACCAAAACAAACATGAATTTTGTTAAATTTAAAATTATCAAACTATTTTTTTGGTAGATTCGGCAAAAATCTTTATTGAAAAATTTTAGATTTGAGCCAAATATGTTAATAGAAAGAAGTAAAATATTTACTGAATTTTTCATATATAATTTAACAAATTTGTTTACCAAATCTACAAATAATTTAAGTACTGAAAAGGAGAAACTTACTTTTTTACTTACAACACTATTATTTTGTACTGTTAAAACTGAAATACTGTATTCCATATGCTGTATTCCAAAACATAACTTAAACACGGTATACACGGTTTTTAGATCTTACAACGTTTCGAAATTCTCTTAAAATTTACAATATTTACGAATATAATAATACTTTTTCTACCACAAAAAGAACATTTTTAACACAAGACAAAAATAAAGAGAAAAATAAAAAACCATTAACCATAAAACCGAGAGCTGGATCCGCTCCTTTACTTGTTATAAGATGTATTTGTTACTTATTGCGTTACTTTCACATTCCAGTGCATGACAAGTTATCTACTATTATGTGTACTTATGTTGAAAATAGGTAAAAAAGATAGAAAAACTTTAAATGATTTAAACCATTTTGAGTTATTAAAATTTCCTCCGAGAATTTTGTGGTTCTAACAACACGTATTTTTTGTTTTTAAGTGTTAAAAAAAAATAGTCTTGAATTGAATAGACAACATTTGCTATTTTTATTAAATAATATCAAATATACAAAAACTTCACTCTGAGCCCGGTTTTCAAAAGGTTACCGATTCTTGATTTCTGAAAAATTATCAGGAATAACATTCTATGGATTCGAAAATAATATTCTCAATTTACTCGATCAAAATTAAGCAAGAATTTGAAATAATATCATTTTAACTGAATTGTTAACCAAAATTACCCTTTTCCTGAAATCCTTCAACTTTACATCGCAAGTACGGTAAAACTATGATAAGTATTGAGCTCACCTTTTTATGTTTAATTCGTATATATGTATGTCATTTATAACAAGTGAGAGTGTTATATTCGGCTGTGCCGAATCTCATATACCCACCATCAAACCATATGCCGTAAAAGGAAGGCTCCCCTATAAAGGGGATCTTAGAGTGGGGTAACGTCAATTATGGACCGATCCACATAAAATTTGGAAGAGGTTTTGGTTCGCAAGGAACTTACTTGGGTTGAATTTCATAGCATTACTCGTATTTTTAATCCAGTAATGAGCGTTAAAGTAAAGTAAATTATGGGCCGATCGACATACAATTTGGTAGAGAGGTTTTGGATCATAAGAGACTTACTTATGTCAAATTTCATTGCTATACTAGCATTTCTAAGTCAGTAATGATCGTTAAAGACATTTTTTGAAGGGGATAGGACTGACGCATTTACAAACTTTGGCGGTGATGCGCGGGCTCTTACCCTTAAAATAATTGAATAATACTTTACTTTAGTCTTCCGTTTGAATGTTAAAATACAACATAATTTCACTATTAAAAGCTGATTCGATTGCTGAAATATGAAAAATCAGATAAATTTTACTTTTTTTAGTAATATTTTCTAGCTAGCTAAAAATTTGACAACAGTAGAACAGTAGAATCATATGTATAAAGTGCTGGTTATAATGAGATGTTAGTTAATAATTTGTTTGTTTTATTGGACTATTGTCCAAATTATTGTTAAGAATTAAGATTTTACTGAAGTATAGAATTAAAGCTTTTTATGGCAGCTAGGATAGATGAGTACGATATAGCTGTTTGAAAATTAAAATACAAAATTACAATTTTAAAGTTTTAATTTTATCTCTAACAAAGGGTATTTCTATTTCTATTTTATCTACCTTTTTAAGTTTCAAAACATCTGACCTAAATCTTTTTAATATGATTTAGAAACGATTGCAAATAGATAATCAACATGTCATCAGAAAACTGAACTATAACAAAGTTAAAAAATTTATTGTAAAGACATTATATTCAGAACAGAAATGTACGAAAAAATGTCAAAATAAAATTGTCCATGAATACTGACAGTTTCCTTTTTATACATATTTGTACGAGGAATCTTTTTATCTAGATTCAGATTTCTTTTAAACAACCACTAGCACGACCCTTTTCCACAAAACTACAAACACAAAACACACAATACAATGCATATTTGATCCACACACATTTAGTAAGTAAAAAAGACAGTTAGACAGACAGGCATACATACATATATACAATACATATTTGATACCTTTTAATCGTTTATATTCAAGATAAGTATCAGAAAATATACTCTTTTTACAACTTGTCACTTTAACGTTCATTATCTGTCAAACGCGTTGTTGTTTTTGTGACAACACATCATCGGCATTGCAGAGACT